CCAGAGATGCAGGGATGGTTCAATATACGTAAGTCAATAAATGTCATATCACATAAATGGGCTCAACGACAAGAACCACATGGTCATCTCAATAGGTGCAGAGAAGGCCTTTGACAAAATTCAACATGCATTTATGTTCAAAGTCCTAGAGGGAATTGGACTGGAGGGAAAATACCTCAACATAATCAAAGCTATATACAACAAACCCACACCCAACATCATTCTAAATAGAGAAAAACTGGAAGCATTCCCATTAAAATCAGGAACCAGACAAGGACGTCCACTATCTCCACTCCTTTTCAACACAGTGCTTGAAACTCTTGCTAAAGCAATAAGACAGAAGAAGGAAATTAAAGGAGTACTAATTGGAAAAGAAGAGGCCAAACTATCCCTTTTTGGAGATGATATGATACTAAACCTAAGAGATCCCAAAAGTTCCACCAGGAAACTCCGAAAACTGATTAACACTTTCAGTATAGTGGCAGTTTATAAAATCAATCTACAAAAATCAGTAGGCTTTTTATATACTAATATCAAGCAATTGGAGAAAGAGTACAGGGAAATGTTCCCATTCACAATTGCTGCCAAAAAAAAAAAAAAAAAACCTTGTAATAACTTGACCAAAGACACCAAAGATCTCTACAATGAAAATTTTAAATCATTAAACAAAGAGATTGAGGAAGACACCATGAGATGGAAGGACCTCCCATGCTTATGGATTGGAAGAAGTAATATTGTGAAAATGACCATCCTACCAAAAGCAATATATAGATTCAATGCAATCCCAATCAAAATCCCTATGACATACCTCACAATTAGAAAAAAAAAAAAAAAAATCCTTAAATTCTTATGGAAGCACAAAAGACCCCAGATAGTCAAAGCAACCATGAGCACAAAGAGCAGCACTAGGGGGATTACCACACCAGCTCTATAAGTATACTACAGAGTTATAGTCATAAAAACAGCATGGTACTGGCACAAAAATAGGCACATAGATCAATGGAACATCATTGAAGAAGACCCAAACCCTAGTACACACAATTTCAGCAACCTGATATTTGACAAAGGTGCCAAGAACACACAATGGAGGAAAGACAGCATCTTCAACAAATGGTGCTGGCAAAACTGGATCTCCACCCGTAGAAGAATGAAACTAGATCCTTATCTTTCACCTTGCACAAAAGTCATCTCCAAATGGATCAAAGACCTCAATGTGAAATTGGAAACCTTGAAACTATTAGAAGAAAATGTTGGCAGACACTTACAAGATATAAGTGTAAGAAAGGATTTTCTAAATCAGACAAATATTGCTCAGGAATTAAGGTCAGCAATCAACAAGTGGCACCTCATTAAACTAAAAAGCTTCTGTACAGCAAAAGAAGCGATCAAAAAAGTGAAGAGAAAACCCAAAGTGGGAAAAAAATCTTCACCAGTGACACATCTGACAGAGGTTTACCATGCAGAATACATAAAGAACTTAACAAAGAAGCAAGAAACCAAATGACCCAATTAAAAGATGGGCTAAAGACCTAAACAGAGAGTTCTCAAAGGAAGAAATAAAGATGGCTAAGAAACATCTCAAAAAGTGTTCAACATCATTAGTAATTAGGGAAATGCAAATTAAAACCACCCTAAGGTACCACCTTATTCCGAATCAGACTGGCTAGGATCAAGAGAACAAATGATACCAAATACTGTCGAGGATATGGAGAAAGGGGAACGCTCATTCACTGTGGTGGGACTGCGAACTCATGCAACCTCTATGGAAACTCATAAAAACTAAAGAGTTTGAGAACTCTTAAAAACTAAAGAGAGTGGAGAACTCTTAAAAAACTAAAAATGAACCTACCATATGACCCAGTTATACCACTCCTTGGCATAAACCCAAAGGACTCATCCTATTAAAGGGACACTTGAACAACCATGTTTGTTGCTGCTCTTTTCATAATAGCTAAGAAATGGAAGCAACTTAAGTATCCCTCAACTGACAAGTGGTTAACAAAAATGTGGTATATTTACACAATGGAGTTCTATTCAGCAGCTACCACCTCACATTCCACAGTCTGGCAAACCTTTCACTACAAACCATTTTTCACCAGTATCTAATTTCCTTTTCAGCCAATCTATTAGGTATTTGTAATACCTAAAGAAAGCTACAAAGTCAATCATTTCCTATGTAAATCATTTCCTATGTAAATTACTTTTTGAACAAAAGACTTACCTTTCCTGGTCCCAATCCTGACCCTGGCATTGGAGGTAGTGGAGGGAGAAAAGAGTTCCATCGAGGAGCTTTAGACTTGTTATTTTGTTTACTTCCAGGAGATCTGGAAGAGTTTTCACTGTCATCTGTTGAAAGCTGACTTTCATTTCCATTCTTTAAAAAGAAAAACATGCACATATTTTGTTAAAGAGTAGGAGAACTGTCTAGCATTTATGAGGCCTGGGTTTGTTTCCTAACAGAGAGCTGTTCCTCATTTAGTCTCTGCTTCAGGGAAATGAAGTCTTTTTGACCTTACCTCCTGAGCATTCTGTTCTATATTATTAGTTACTTCACAGGTTGGGGAAAGTAGATCAGACAGATTTTGTTCCTCTCTGTTTCCATATCCAGTGTAAACCACAACACAAGTTTCTCTCTTAAAATCAACTGAAGCAATGGTGGCTGGGTAGACACAGCCATCTTCTGACCAAATGGCAGAACATTTGTCACCAACTTTCCACTACAGAAGAAATCAAAGACACAGACATGCACACATTACTGAGGAGAGCAAACATAATCCCATCTATTTAATCACACTGTTCTTGGTTTCTCTGAGTCTTCTTTACCCAGCCTACTGCATGTTTGAAATACAATCTAATGCCCAAATTTGTCATGAAGAATGAGATAGAGCAAAAGTAATATGAAGTACACAGCACACTGGCCTGAAAAAAGAAAGGGCCCATCAAGTGTTAACACTCTTGCCCTCTGGTAATGATGAAATTAAAGCTCACCGATGAAACATCAAAATGCTTACTTTCCAAAAATAAAAATAAAAAATAAATAAAATGAGATTATCTTCTAGACTACTAGGTTTGGTTTTGTTTCTGCATGAGTTTGGTGCTAGGGATACTCAGGGCTTGGCCCTTATCAGGCAAGTGCTCTACAACTAAGCTATATTCCAAACCCCAGGCTTCCTGCTTTTAATCAGCAGAACTAGTTACCCAGAATTTTTGGTTCTCTGAAGTAGTTTTTGGATTTTTGAAATGGGGGGGAATGGGGCTACAGGTACAACTCAGTTACACAGCACATGCTCAGAATGGGTGAGGCCCTGGGTTTAGTACCCAGCTCCATAAAAAGAAGGGACAACAAAAGATAGTCATCTTTCCATCTCTCTCAATTTAAGAAATAAAACACTGCTAATTCAGTCTACAGCTCTCAGGCACTCACTATAAATAGCATCATCAACCCTCTCCCCCATGCTGGGAAGATCATCAACCCTCTCACCTACACTGGGAAGATCAGCAACCCTCTCCCTGACACTGAAAAGATCATTAACCCTCTCCCCAACACTGAAAAGATCATTAATCCTCTCCCCCACACTGGGAAGATCAGCAACCCTCTCCCAGGCTGACCAAGACCCTGCTTAAATAAATAAATCACCTGCTTCAAGGGAGTTGTGGTATTCTTCTTTTGGTTTTTATTCTTCTTGGCTGGTTTTCTCCTAGGTGCACCTTTTGGTTTATCTGAGGTTTCACAGATGTTGCCATTCTTTAGAGCATGCTATGAAAACAGTAAGAGACGTGCATGTCTTAGAGTGACACATTTTTTAGAAAGTTACAGCATACTTCAGTCACTATTGTAAGATGTCTTAAGGTCCCACCACCTAAGAAAGCCTCCATTTACTTCCTCTCTTCACCACCTAACACCTTTTCCCCCCAAAATAAGCGATACGGAAGGCAGGGTGTGGTGGCACACACCTTTAGTCACAGCACTCAGGAGGGAGACAGAGGCAGGCCTGTATCTCTTTGGATCAAGGCCAGCCTGGTCTACATAGTGAGTTCTAAGCTAGCTGGGACTGCAGGGACACCCTGTCTCAAAAAGACAAAGGGAGGGACTGGAGAGATGGCTCAGCAGTTAAGAACATTGGTTGTTCTTGCAGAAGACCTAGGTTCAAATCCCAGCACCCACATGGCAGCTGTCCGTAACTCCAGTCCCAGGGGATCTGACAATCTCTTCTGACCTCCGTGGGCATTGCACGACATGGGTGCACTTACCTACATGCAGGCAATACATGAATACACATAAAATAAAAATAATAAATAAAATATTTCTGTGCTGGATAGCTTTAGTGTCAACTTGACACACTCAGGTTGAGGGAGCCTCAACTGGGGAATTGCCTCCATTGGACTGACATGTGATGATGTCTGAGGGGCATCTTCTCGATGAGTGATGTGGGAGGGCCCAGCCCACTGCAGGTGGTACCACCCCTGGGCAGGTGGGCCTGTGTTGCATAAGAAAGAAGGCTGAGCAGGGACCAGGAAGCAAGCCAGTAAGCAGTGGTCCTCCATGGCCTGTGCTCCAGCTCCTGCCTCCAGGTTACTGCCCTGAGCTCCCACCTTGGGCTCCCTGATGAACTGTGACCTGGGAGATGTAAGACAAATAAACCCTTTCCTCCCCAAGTTGGTAGTGGTCAGAGTGTTTTGTCACAGCAATGAAGAACAAACTAGGACATAATTTTTTAAAATTTATATATAAAAAAAAAGATAAAGGGAAAGTGATTAAACATTTCATACCTTAAAGGAAGTCACAGCTTTATCATAAGCTTTTATCAATGCTGTATCATCCCAAATGTCAGAATCATCACTCTGAAAGGGGGAAAAAAAACAACTTATGAGTAGATAGAATTAAAAAATGTATAACTGCCAGGCGTAGTGGTACATGCCTTTAATCCCAGCACTCGGGAGGCAGGGGCAGGTGGAGCTCTGTGAGTTCAAGGCCAGCCTGGTCTACATAGGTAGTTCCAGGAAAGGTAGGGCTACAGGGAGACCCTGTCTCAAAAAAACCAAAAAAAAAAAAAAAAGTATGTGGGTGGGGATGTAATTCAAAGCCTTGGTTTGACCCTCAATACCACATAAAGTCAGTCATGGTAGTGACTGTAATTACAAACCTGTAATACAAGCACTACTCAGAAGGCACAGTCAGGAGAATCACTTAAAGTGAAGGCCAGCCTGCGCTACAAAGTGAATTCTAAGCCAGTCTAGACTACAGCATAAGATCTTATCTCAAAAAGCAAACAGCAAGGCATAGTGGCTCTTATCTGTAATCCCAGCACTTGGGAGACAGAGGTAGAAGGCTCTCAGAGAGTTCAAGGCCAGCCTAGGCTACATATTGAGTTCCAGGACAGCCTAGGCTACAGAATGAGACTGATTCATAAAAACAAAACAAATAACCAAACAAAAAAGAAAACTTCAATAAACAAGATTACAGGTATGCATCATCATGCTTGGTTCAAAGATATTTAGATGGTAACCAAGCAGACGAAATAGTCAACATCATTAGTCATTAAAAAGACCATTTATACCAAATGTTCACAAGGATTAGGAGCAAATAGAACTTTTACATACTTCTAGACAGAATGTAAACTGGTATTCCCAGTCTGAAGAGTTTGGCAGCTTCTTAAAGACCCAATATACATCTACCACATGACTCAAATATTTACCCAAGAAAAATGGCATCATCTGTCTCTACAAAGTTTTAAGCACTAAGATTCATAGCAGGTCTATTTGTAAGAGCCCTAAACTGGAAAAACACTCAAATGTTCATGAACAAGTGAACAGATAAATCACAGTACACATATGTAATGGACCACCCAGGAATAGAAGGGAATGGAATCAGAATAATTGGTATTACAATTGGATAAAACAAGATGATTACATTGAGTAAAAGAAGAGAATAATGGATACTGTACAGCTGGGCTGATAGCCCACAGCATACCTGTAATTCCAGCTACTCCAGAGGCTGAAGCAGGAGGATTCCAAAGTCAAAGTCAGGTTGTACAACTTAGCAAGACTGGTCTCACAACGAGAAAGGACAAGGGATATGACTCAGGGGGAACGCTTGCCTAGTGCCTAGCATAAACAAGGCCTTTGGGTTTAATAATACAAGAAAATAAAAGACAAGGAGTGGGAGGCAAAATGACAAACTTCCCTAAGGCTGTCATGGTACAGGAACTCTAAGCTAGGCAACACAGGGAGACATGCAGAAACTGTTGAGATTTCATGAAAAGGTGTCCTACAGCTACTCAGTCCCCAGCTACTGTGGTTCCAATGACCATTTGAATGCAACCTCATGACACAATGAGATAAAATGTCATTTTTGCTTCAAGCCACTAAATTTTGGGTGATCTGTCACATAGCAAAGGCAGCTAGAACACACCATCAGCACCATCTTTATATCTGATTCCCCATTACCCCAGCAGCCCAGTTTTCTTGAGTTACTCCTCATGTCCTGCCATCTTCAAATACTTCTCAACTCCTGAAATCCTGAGAATACTCTCTGGAGTCACCATCACCTCCCAAACTCTCCATCTTTAACTTCTTCAAACATCCCCATCATCTTCTTGTTCGAGAAGATCAAGATTTCCTTGAGAATGCCTCTCCCCTTCCAGCTAGCTCTCCCAAACTCTCTTCCTATCACTACAGAGGTAGGAAAAGAAATCCTCCATGCTCCTTATTTCTATTTCCAGATAATTCTTCCTTTCTCTCTAAAAATCCAAGTTTTGAAATTCTACCATATACTGGTTCCTGGGTCATTATGCATTTCCTCAAGTTTACCTCCCAGTGTTCTAATATGACTCCTGTCATAGTTCTGATAATTTAAGCATCCATATGGATGATCTACTACCCCATCTTTGCAAGTGTTTGACCTCCTCTCTAATAATGGTGTACATCCCCAAATTCAGGTACATCCTTTTATGGTTTTAAATATAATGCCCCCTTAAAGACAGTTTCTCAACTCCTACAGGATGTAGTTCAATGGCAGAGCATTTGCCTAGCATGTGCATGTCCCTAGGTTCCATCTTTGGCATCAAAAACTAAGAATCCCACTCTAATCATTACCTTCTAGGCTGTACACATTCCTTCTAGAACTTGGTGATAATAATTGCTCCATTTTACTAAGACTGGCAACACACTGAATTGCACTCTTTAACAGTCCCTGGGTGTTTAATGTCCTTACTTCCTTTCAAAGCTAGCTTAAATAGTCAATCATTAAGATAACTCGTGTTCAGTAAGTAACCCCCTTCATATCTTCACATCCATTTGGCAAAAACTATTAATTTCAACTCTTGGCATATTCTGTACCTACCCTCACACTGGAACTTAGCATAGAGAAATATGATAATGTCTGGTCTCCTGATCTCATAGTCACAAATCTCGAGAAGGCCCTGGGTGCTGCTGAGCCCCATTTCTACTAAAGTTCCTTAGTCCAACACTAACCAACTCTCCTAGAGGGTTACTTCCTGCCTTTTCTAGTCTGAAACCTCCAACACAGCTTCCTCCAACTTCCTAACCAGTAGCCTTGCTCCTTTCATGAAGACATGAAAATAGAACATTCACAATACCCAGCCATTTTATCTTCCTGTTCAAAGATCTGTACCCATGTAACTGTTATCACATGAACTTCCAATGTATTGCTTTGTTTCTTAGCAAAAGTTTAATTAATCCCTTTTACCTATGCTAGGACACTGAATCATCAATTCTCTTCTTACTTGCATCATTAATTTTTCCACCATTACTGAGTCTTTCCTATTACCTACTAAGATTCTGAAACACCACAAAACATTTTCTAACATACTTTGCCCTCTAATGTCCTAGAGTAAACCCCCTTTAAGTATCTGTTTACAAATGTTGCCCTGATTTCTCTTCTCCGGCTCTCAACTGCATCACACATACCATGCCATGCCCAAGATTGTGTTCCTAATGGTTTTATGTATTTATTTGTGTATTTATTTAGTGGTTGGAGTCTGTTTCCTAGGTTGGCCTCCCACTCAGAATCCTCCTGCCTCAGCCTTCCAAGTAGCTGGGACTGGTTACAAGCATGGGCCACCAACCTGGCTCTGATTTTCCCTTCTTTTTGAAACTGTTGTTTAAGCTGGGTGTGGTGGCACACAGCTTTAGTCCCAGCACTGTGGAGGAAAAGGCAGGAGGATCTCTGTGAGGTTGAGGCCAGCCTGGTCTACACAGCACGTTCCAGGCCAGCTGGGGCTACAGGGAGACCCTGTCTCAAAAAATACAAAAAACAAAACAAAACAAAACAAAAAAAACCGTTAAATTAAAAAAAATTTTATTTACTATTTATGTGTAGGAGTGTACTGCTTGCGTGTAGGTAGGTGCACCCGTGCCGTGAAACGGCGGAAGAGGGCGTCAGATATCCTGGAACTGGAGTTACAGACGGTTGTTAGCTGCCATGTGGGTACTGGGACTCGAACCCGGGTCCTCTACAAGAACAGTCAGTGGTCTTAACCGCAGAGCACGGGTGTGTGTGTGTTGGGGGGGGGGTGTTGGACGGACAGGGTCTCAGTGAAGTCTAGGCTGACCTCAAACCCATCAGGTAGCTGAAGCTGATCTTGGAACTGTTGCTCCTCCTGGCCTCCACCTCCCAAGTGCTGTGACTACGGGCATGGGCCACCAAGCCTGGCTCTGATCGTCCGCTTCATGCACCTGATCTACTAGCAGTTTTTCATCTTCCTTATCTCTGTGCATCACAGCAAACAGCAGCTTTTCGACTGTTCAAGGCAACCCTGCAGCTATCCTTTTCTCTCAAACGTTCCTTTAAAACGGCTAACTGCGAGATTTGCTACCTCTGATTACAAAGGTATATGCAGAACCTAACATTTCAGTCACTGTGAACACCTTGATCGAGATTTCAACAACTCCTTACTGGTTTGCTGCTTCACCCCGCCAGCCTCTGCCCACTACATCCAAGTCACATGGCCAAGGCAAGGGGCAGCACCGCCTCAGCTCAAAGCCCGCTGGGAGCCCAAGCTGCACCCGGATGCTGCAGTGGTCAGGGCTTGCAGGCTACAGCATATGGGCCCTCCGTGAGGCCCCGAGCGATGACTCCGTCTCCGCCAGGCTAGGAGCGTGCCGGGGCGAGGATGGCGAGCTGCGACCTCACCTGGCCTGTACCGCGCAGGAACAGCACCGAGTCTTCCGGCTCCGAGACCGCTCCGCCGCAGCTCATCGCCATAGCGAGCTACCGCAGAAGCTGGTGGAACTCGCCCGGTGACAACTTCCGCCTGGAGGTTCTGGGACCGGAAAAGCACAGTGGCCCGAAGGGGTCAAAAGGCTTCCACGCTTTGTGCAGCTCGCTATCGCAATCCCAACGCTCTCTCTTGCTTCCTCTTGTCCTTTTTTCCTCCTTTCCCTCTCATTTTCTTCTCTTCCCTTTCTCTTCCTCTATCCCTTTCTCTCGTTTCCTAGCCCAAACTCACTCTATATCTCAGGCTGGCCTTCAGCTTTCAGATGCTACTACCTCAGCTTCCTGTGTACCGGGCTTCCAAGTGTGACCCCTGCGTAAAGTGGTTCCGCCAAGTTGTTTGTTTTTAACAGTTTTCTTTAAAAAAAAAAAAAAAAAAAAAAAGTAATTGCAAGTAATTTAGAAAATAGGGTAAGCAACACAAGAATCATTAATTCAGAGGAACCAAAGTATAGCCAAGGTCTTGTTTTATCTAACTCTTGGCTTAGCTCAGTCATAGAGCACTTGAATAGCTTGTGTAGCTTGAGTTTGATCCCTAGCAATGGGGAGTGGAGGACTGGCTGCACAGCAATGATGAAGACAAACATTAAACCTTGTCACAGCTACCTGGAATCCAGGGAGCAGAGTTTACGCCTTTTAGACTTTTTCCACCTTTAATATTAGGTTAGTTTCTATATAGCCAAATCCAAGCAGATTTTGAACACACAAAAATGGGTTTCATAGGGAGGTTTCTCTTGTCTGGCACTGTTTCTTGGTGTATATCTCCTTCAGCTATACACATGGACACATGTAGAGATACTGGATGTTTGATTTTTCAATAGGCTTTTGAACTAACATATTTCCCTCTGGTTTTTTACACCAGTTAAGCACTTCTTCCCCCCCCCCCCGCCAAAGTATCCCATCTTCCCCATTTCACCCTTGATAATCCCTGTCTCCTATGGTCCCTCCCCCTCTGTTGAGCTCCTTCTTCCCCTTTACCCCATGGTTCCTTGTATAACCCTCCATATTCCCCTCCATTTAAATACCCCCATTTTACCCATTTCCCCCTTGGTAACAACTGTCTCCTACTGTTCCTCTCTCTCAGGCTCCTTCATTACCTTTACCTTCCTAGTGCTCTTCCCTTTTCCTGGCTCCTGTAGTTACATCAGGATATATTCTCACTTATAAAGATTGGTACTAAGATCCACAAATAGGAGAGAACATACATCATTTGTTTTTCTCAGTCTGTGTTACTTCACTTAGTATAACAGTGCCTAGTTCCTTCCATTTATGTGCAAATTTCATGTTAGTTTTTTTTTTTTTAACCACTGAGTAGAACTCCATTGTGTGAATGTACCACATATTCATTATCCACTCCTCAGTTGAGGGACATTTAGGTTGCTTCCATTTCTTAGCTATTGTGAAAAGAACAGCAATAAACATGGATGTGCAACTATCTTTGTGGTGGGATGAGTCCTTTGGGTATACGCCATGGAGTGGTATAACCTGATCATATGGTGGGTTCATTCTTAGTTTTTTAAAAGTTCTCCACACTGATTTCCATGGGGGTTGCATGAGTTTGCAATTCCACCAGCAGTAACTGAGTTTTCCCTTTCCCCCACATCCTCTCCAGCATTTGGTATGGTTTGTTCTCTTGATCTTAGCCAGTCTGACTAGAGTAAGATGAAATCTTAAAGTGCTTTTAATTTGCATTTCTCTAATTACTAAGGATGTTGAACACTTTGTAAGGTGTTTCTTAGCCATCTTTATTTCTTCATTTGAGAACTCTCTTCAAATCATCTTTTAATTGGGTCATTTGTTTTCTTGATTCTTTGTTTTATGAGTTCTTTATATAGTCTGGGTACTAAACCTCTGTCAGATGTGTCACTGGTCAAGATTTTCTCCCACAGGAAGATTTTCTCTTCACTTTCTTGGTTGTTTCTTTTGCTGTGCAGAAGTTTTTAGTTTATTAAGGTCCCACTTGTTGATTGTTGACCTTAATACATGAGCAACTGATGTCTGACTTAGAAAGTCCTTTCCTACACCTATATCATGTATGGCACGGCCTATGTTTTCTTGTAACAGTTTCAGAGTTTCGGGTTTCACATTTAGGTATTTGATCCATTTGTAGTTGATATTTGTGAAAGAGACTCCCAAAATTACACAGGCTATTGCCACAGCCCTTGATTGCCTCCCAGAACATGAAAATAAGACCTTGTTGCTGAAGAGAAGACATACTTTGGACTCAGGACTTGGAGGAATGGAGCTGGAACTGACCTGTAAGTCAACTCCCTGAAGGCTAGCTCTCATAATTATGGAAGACATTATGCCAGCTGCTAAGGGGCAACTTCAATCAATGGATCCAACCCCAGCTTTAAGCCTTAATAACCACAACAATGATGGGCACAGAAAACTACACTGAAGAAGAAGTAGGAGGGAACTCATGTGTGGCACTGTAAACATAGCCAAATATGCCTGGCTGAAAAGGTCATAGATCTTAGGGAAAAAAACCCTAAGGCTGTCACATCCCTAGACAAGTGTAATTTCTTACTATATGCTAAATATGGATCCTTATATTTACAGGCAAATATGCCAGTTGCCACTCATCAAAGAAGCTTCTTTTGCAAGAAACAAACTATTACAGAGTTCCACAACTGGTCATCCACAGAGACTAAGTGTCTGTGAAATGCCTAACCCTAAGTGACACATTTACAATGGAACCTCTACACCTAAGGCTCACAGAGCATAATGGAACAAGAAGGGGTAGAGAGAATACTAATGAATCTCTCAACTCTCATCAAGTTGAGAAGTTCACCATGCAACAGAGGGCAATGAACACAAAAGGCCACAAATAACCAAAGCGTAGAGAATAAGTCTGCAAAGTGTGGATCCTTGGACTGGACTCCTATTATTAAAATCCTCTCGCCCAGAGCTCAGGGACCTTTGCAAAAGAGGAGAAAGAAAGATTTTAAGAGCCAGGGGAGGTGGTGCATGACCATATGGAAACAGTTTTACAGGTTCCTGGGACCTTGTTCATATGAAAATACAGCAATGGTGCTAGCATGCACAAGACCCATGCAAACTCAAGCAGTCAGAAATCCAGCATAGAACTGGGGAAATGGGCAGCAGGCACAAATGTTAACCAAAGAACTATTGGCTGCTGATTACTGTTGGATGAGGGAAGAGATGATCTTCTTTAAGGGAGTGGCTCTAGATAGGCTGATTAGACTGCAGTGAATGAACTTGCACTGAGAGACATCTAGGTATACTGACTTGACTCAATAGGCCTTAACTAACAGAATGCATGAAACCCAGTGGGGACAGGGGTTTGGGAGGGTGTGAGTGGGTTAGGGGGTATAAAGATGATTAAGTTGTTTTGTATTAAATACACAAAAATTCAATTAAAATTTTTTTAAAACTAGGTTTTGTGGGGTTGGTGAGATGGCTCAATGGTTAAGAGTACTGGCTGTGCTGGGTGTGGTGGTGCACACCTTTAATCCCAGCACTTGGGAGGCAGAGGCAGGTGGATCTTTGTGAGTTCCAGGACAGCCTGGTCTACATAGTGAGTTCCAAGACAGCTGGGGCTACAGAGGACCTGGGTTCAGTTCCTAGAACCCAGATAGCAACTAAAAACCATCTATCTGTTAACTCAAGTTCCAGGGAATCTGATATTCTCTTTTGGGTTTTGCAGGCATGCACATAGTGCACCCTTGTGCATGCAAGCAAAGCACTCATACACATAAAATAAAAATACATGCATACATACATTTTAAATGGGATTAGTAAGGCATGGTGGCACATGCCTGTAATCTCAGCACTGTAAAGGCTGCAGGAGGATCTTGACTTTGAGGCCATAGTGTTATAGATGTGGATTGAAATCTAGACGACACCTGTCATGAACATGCTTTCAGAAACAGAACATATTCATGTCTTTCTACAATGTCATAATTTATTGAATAACAGAAAATTTACAGATTTAGCTGTTTCAATGACAGCAGTTTTTCATATAATCCTGTCTAACCCTAGTAACCCAGCCCAAGCAAATTCAGGGTTTGGAGGAGATTATGTTTTGTTTTGTTTAGACCTCTAGATCTTCCTTATGCCCCAGGTGTCCTATAACTTGCTATAGACCCTACTGGCCTCCATCTCAAGAGATCCACCTGCCTCTGCCTCCTAAGTGCTGGGATTAAAAGTGTGCACCACCACACCTAGCTCCCAAGGTTCTTTTTTCCCCCAGTCTTAGCTATTAATATTAACTCCAATATCACAAAGAACATGGTAAATATATCTATATGCATTTATGTGGCTTTTGGAATGAAAACAAGCCAAAGAGGCTTCAGCAAAGTTCAAGCAGTTTCAGAAGTGAGCAAAGAGTCTGTATTGATAAAGTAATGAGTCAGACCAGTGCCAGGAGAGAGCTGCTGCTGGAGTCAGGGTTTGAGAGCAAAGGTGTTCCAGCTTCAAGATGAAAAGTTGAACCAGGATCCAAGAGCAGGAAACAGTGGGTTCAAACAGGTAAGCAGGTGGATGGGCAGGCAGTCAACTAGGCCACATCAACAACAGGGGACCAAGCGAAGTCAAAGTTCCAGGGACAGTCTGAGAGTCCTCTTGTTGTCAGACCACACATCAGGTATCAGACGATAGGTTGATGTGGAGCCATGCCACCACAGTGTAAGATGTCTATCAGTTTATGGTGTCCAGTAAAGGAGTTATACCCTCTTCTTTGTCTGGAATGTCTTGGTCCTGGTTTTCCTTATATGATTTTAATATACCCATGTGCCCCCATAGTTTCAGTTCACCCCAATAAACTTATAAAATGGCTCCCTTTTTACTACCAGGAATAAGTCATTTATCAGTCTGTGCTGGATGGGAAGGGCCTGGCAGATGGCAGTTTCTGGGTTCACCCAGGGGCTGCAGTCATCCTTCTCTCTCAAAATGAAGACAAAAGCCGCTTGTAAAGTGGAGCCTCCTAGGGCAAGGCACAGCCTGAAAAATCACTTTCATATAAAATAGAATAACTTAGAGTAGGGTATGGCCTGATATCAATAGCACCCTGTGAAATTTCTGGGTTCTTGTGTCCC